TCTCCACTCAGTGTCACTTCATACTGGAGAGTCACAAATTTTCATATTTGAATATGATGAATATTACAAAGCTTGATTATAGTGTCTGAGAGACTCACAGGGGTATGGTGAGAGGCTTGTGATTGTTAGCAAGTTTCCCACTTACCAGTTATGTGAAATTGGACAAAGTACCATAAAAGCCCCTTAATAACTTAGAATAAAAATTCTATGACCATCCAACACACAGAAAGTGCCTGTAAGTGTAACCTTTAAAGTTACTGTTACTGGACATTATTACATATAAATACCAGCTGAAAAAGACAACCTTTTTATTTCTGGACTTCTAAACTTCCTGGCATTTTGAGTTATTATTCTTTGATTTAAAAACTGAAAGCCACAGTAATAACGGAAACAGAGAGCGAAGAGGTCTCTTAGAGCAGGAACTGTAAACTCAGGGTTAAGTTTCATCCTCCGTGAAAATACAACAGGGGTCCTAGAGAAAAGAACCTGGAGCTGAGGCTGCTGTGCTTGAAGCATGTCCCCTGTATGCTCATTTAAAATCAATTTAGCAGAATCCCCAGAGGGGAGGTGAGGGAAAACCTAGCCTTAGATAGAAATGCAAAGGTTCTTCAGCCTGAAATGAAGAAAAACATATTCATTTGGCTTTAAATAAGGCCATGGGCTGGGTTTGAAATTGAATTTTAGCCTTGAGTTTGGGTAAGCATATCAATACGTAGTGTATCGTTCTTCATTTTTGTTTGTTTGGAATTGTTAATAGATTTAGAAAATTCTGGTTTTCAAAATATCACAATTTAGAAATCGAATAAATATATACTAAAATGCAGACTTCACCATTTCTTTTTGTTTTTAATTCAGTGGCTGCCCTGGTTCGGTGAATTATATATGAAGTTTCTATGTATTACATTATTCATTTGCTGTCTACTATTGTACTGAAACCTTTACATTTTACTTGTATTTTTAAAATAATTTTCATTCTGAGATCACTGTTTTCTAAAATGTACCCCTTGAACAATGATGCTATTTTTTTTTAAAAAAAACTAGCAAAAACTTTGGTTATATTTAGAAATCATGCATTTAAAACATATTTTTTATATATCTCAGAGATTTGAATATTCTGTATTGAGTGCTGTTAATGTCTAAGCTGTAGTACCTTGATTTTCTACATCTTGTCTGACCCAAGAACCCCTTTTTTTCTTGTACTACTACTCAAGGCATTGCCTGAGACATATTTTGTAAAAAAAAAAAAAATTCTTGATAATAATATGCATACACAAAATAAGATGCCACTGTTTTGACAGATCAGACCTGTTGGTTTCTGGAGAGAAAAACTACATACATGACTTTCTTTTTATATAAAATATTCGATTATAATAGTAAATCATAAGTTTCGGCAAAATGATCAAAGTAGCTGTGTGTGTGTCCCCTGATTTGGTAGATGTTACTTTTCATTATACATCAGGTGGTATCATCTAATTAACTATTTGATAACAGAACTGATTATTTAGGTTTTGCTGTTTCATAATTCCTCATTGTAAAACACTGTATATATATGTGTGAATATGATTTATTTTTATTAAGATGTTAAAACTTGTACTAGATTTTTAAAATGATAAAAGATAATTACTTTTGATGGTGTATCTATAGTTTGTGAAATCTATCTTTAAAAGGTATTCAGTTAAGTATTTTTTAAGTATTCTGGGAAATAAAATTGTCTCTGCAGAAGAATATAGCACTTTGCATTTTGAAATTTGATTTTATAGCCACAATGATCAGAACATCATTCAATTCGAACAAAATAACTTAATATAAAGACTATATTACATTTGCATGAAGTAACTAGTCCCAAAATACCTTCTTTACAGATTTGGATTGAATGTGGTCACTGCTTCCCCAGTGTTACTAAAGAAAAAAAAATAGTAATAGTAATAATAATACCCTGATCACCAAAATATGATAAAAACTCAGCAGTATGTATTTAAGGAGGGCATCTTTGATATGCATATACAGTTCATTTTTATTTCAAAGTATCATAAGAGAACTTCAATATTCCTTAATGAGTTATAGGCATAATTAACTCCCCCTATACCCTAATAGAAACCCACCCCATTTGTGCACAGAAGGTACACCAACAGAACATGGTAACGCAACTACTTGTAAGTCAATGATCTCTTTCTGCTTTTAATTTTTTGTCAGCTGGTGGCTGAAGGGAAAATTACCCTTCAGTGTTCTCTGGGGTTGTTTTAATGGAAGCGATAGAAGAATTATCCTGGAGAGAAGAATGAGGGCTACTGAAGCAGCACAGATTCACACATTTGTGTGGCTGCTGACTTTTTCCAGCTCTGTGCATTGTTAATGTTGGTTCTGGGGAAATAAAGTTGAGGAAGGTTTAGAAGCTTAGTTGGGGTGAGACTTGGCAGTGTATGTGAAGAAGAATCCTGTACTGTGTCCGATGGCCCTTCATATTGCTCTTCTACAGCAGGCCCAAGCTAAAGAAAAGAGACACTGTAATTTTAAATTAATTTTTCATGTTTGGATTAAGACACTTAACTGATTTTAGGAATGATCTTACATTGCAGTACCTCGATTTTCTACATCTTATCTGACCCAAGAACCCCTTTTTTTTCTTGCCTACTCCATATAACAGCACTGCTTGATCACAGAATTGACTGAAAATAATGAAATGCTTTCAGTCAATGGATAAACACATGTAGTGCATCCTTACAGAGGAATACTACTGAGCAATAAAAAGGAGCAAGCTACTGTTACATGTCACAGCGTGGAGCTCAGCACCATTGTATCGAATGATAGATTCCAGACACAAATGACCGCATACTCTATGATACCATTTATATGAAATGGCAAAAATATATAGAAAGCAGGCCAGTAGTTTCAGGGTCTGGGAGTAGGAGGCAAAGAATGACCACAGAGGAGTAAGAGGGAACTTGTCTAGTTAGTGGAAAAGGTCTGTGTGATACTTATTCTCACTCTATGCATTTGTCGCATTTCACTTGTACACTTATTACTGGTGATGTTTATTGCATTTAAATTATACAATACCTAAATAAAATTGGTTAAGATTAAAATATTATAGAATTCACTTGTAAAGGAGAGAAGTGATCCTATAATTTGTTTTTTTGACAGAGTCTGACTCTGTTACCCAGACTGGAATGGGGTGGCATGATCTCAGCTCACTGCAATCTGGGTTCAAGCGATTCTTCTACCTCAGCCTCTCGAGTAGCTGGGATTTCTGGCACCTGCCACCATGCCTGGCTCATCTTATTTTCACGTTGGCCAGGAAGGTCTCCAACTCCTGATCTCAGATTATCTGACGCCTCGGCCTCCCAAAATACTGGGATTACAGGTGTGAGCTACCGCGCCCGACCTATCATACATAAAAGTGGCCAGAAAAATGAGGACAGGCTGAGCTTCATCCAGAATTTGGGCAAGCGTTAATATCAGACAATAAATTTAAAGGGAAGGTAGAAAAGAAAAACGATTACACCTATGAGTTCTTCTCCTTTATCATTGCAATCATGTCATATGCAAATCAACTAGTCCAGTGATGTAGCCTATGGAAAGCATTATAATAAATGCTGCTACTATTTTTACTGTTATTGTTATTATTCAGAACCATATATTAAGAGTATCTAGACAACCTAAGAGGAGTTGTGAATACAGAGGACTCAGAAACTTTCTCCTTCCTTCAAGTGGAGAGAGACTGTGAATTAACTGATTCCAGTGATTTGAGAAACACAAAAGGAGATGGAATTGATCAATGACTTATTTAGGGGAATTAATGAACTATCATGTGTCACCGGAGCAGAATATTAAAGCATCATTTCTGACAGATTCTGAGCACTTTTGTGTGTATCAAATAATTTCTGATCTATTTCAATCTATTATGAAGACTCTTGGTATCTCATCATGTGAAAAATGGGAAACATGCCAATGGGTAAAGGAGTTTGAGGCTGATATTAGCCTTGATCTTCATATGTGCTACAACACACAACATATAATGGCATCTATTTAATGTGCCCAGACTGACTATCCTAAGTAAATTCATGTATTGTCACATTTGAGCTTCATCACAACTTTAATAAATGGACATGGATAGTGAAAGAAGTTACATAAGAATTAAGATTAAGGGCTGGGTGTGGTGGTTCAAGCCTGTACTCCCAGCTACTTGGGAGGCTGAAGTGGGAGGATTGCTTGAGCCCAGGAATTTGAGCCTGCAGTGAGCTATGATCTAGTCACCACACTCCAGCCAAAGCAACCATAGGATAAAGCTTGGTGAGGGAACATTTAACTTTATCAGAGCTGGATTGCTGATATTAAGTTTTTGTTGTTGCTTGTCCTGCCCTGGAAATGGAATGCAGAGAGTTAACTGATATCTGGCTCAAAATCTCTGGCACCTCCCAATAAGTCCATAGGTTAACATTATATACTAGGTGGTCAACAAGTGATTGCTGAATGACTTAAATAACAGCTCCAGGTTTCAATTATTGGAAAGCAGGATTTGGATATTATATTCTTAGTCTAAAAGATACCAAACATAGCATAAGGTTGATGTTGTATAATGGTGTGTAATTCATTTTCATGGCTTCCCAACTGACCAGTCTATTTTGAAGTCCATTTTGGGGTAATGGTATAGAGATACTTCTGTGTTAGATTGCTGGTATTAGCAATAACTTGAATTTTGATAAATCTTTAATTATATTTAACAGTTATTAAACTGAGACAATTGTTGCTTTTAAATGAGAAAAACAGTTAGCATGCAGGCTCTAATAGGTACATTTATCATTTCCTTATCATACTGAGCTTTAGGCTTGATGTTATCTATTTTCCAAGAAAGTAAAAATGTTGTTTCTTAGAATATAAAGGTTCTTTATAATGTGAGCAATTGAAGCTGTACAGATTGGTTCTTTAATGAAATGGGCAAAATTCCAGTGGAACTGACAAGGTTTATTTCTATGTGTTGTATTTCTTTTTTCTCATTACAGATGGACCCGATTCAGAAAGCTGTAATAAACCATACATTTGGGGTTCCTCTTCCCCATCGAAGAAAGCAAATTATATCATGCAACATTTGCCAGTTGAGATTTAATTCTGATGTAAGTTTATCATTTAGTATTCACTTAAAAAAGTACTTTTTGGTGTTCTAATCTTGCAGGAGAAAAGATTTCTTAGACATTTTCTCCAGTAACTGAGCATGTCAAAAATCAAAAATAACATTTAACTCGTTATGTGCTTTAATTTTGGAGACTATGTTATGTTGGTGGTTTCCTACAGAAAATTTGCACTATACAAGCTTATACACTTGCAGTTTAATGTAGATTTCTTTTTTAAGGCTTTTGTGAATGGTATATGTAGTTAATACACTTTGCCTGTAGAAACAGCAAAACTTAGGACCAATGGAACTTTTAATGGGTTACACTCTGAAATAAGACAGGACTAAAACATATGTTAAGACCAAGATTTTGAATCTAAAAACTTTTTGGCTGGAATGGAGGCTTCAAATTCCATATTACCGCTATGTCCTTAATTACATTTATGCTAGACACTCAAAGTGTCTTTTCTTAGGGGTATTGGTATTTTAACAGGGGGTCCTACAGACCTAAAACCACTCAAGCCCCAAAAGATTCTTCAGTGTAGAACATGCAGGAAGGAAACATTTGTGGACCTGACTGGTACTTCACAAGTTATTTAGGGATTTATTCACATCCATTTCTAAAGACCAGGGTGGACTCTGGATCCATCAGAGCGATACTAATTTTGACCTGTGGCCAATAGAAAAAAAAAAATATATGTATGTTTTCTCTTCTCCGCCAAACCTGCTCTGATGTGGAGATAATCCTGAGAGTTCCAGAAGAGAAAAACAACCTTAGTTTAGAAGGAATAGGAATTGGACAGCATTCACACTGTAGGCAAACATAAGGCTCCAACCCATCAAAATGGAGTCTTCCAAGCTACCATTTTCTTGTGCTAAGCTGACAGACTATGTGGAGTTGATCAAACAGATCTGAATTCTGGAGAATGTTATGCCTTCCAGTATTTAACGTCTCTAGTCAAGTAGTTCTCTCAGATGCTCTGACAAGGATAGGAAACAAGATAATCGAGTATAGGAAATAGATGAGGCATAAAAAATAGTTTATTTCTTCTTTGAGGAGAACATTTCATCTATTTTGCTTTTGTCTTAAGAACTCATACTTACTAATGCAATCATCGGGTAATTTTATAATATCCATTGACTTAAAAAAGAGAAGAATGGATTGCCTGCATAACACCTTAGTGCATTTGGCCAGCTAAAACAAAATACCATAAAGTGAGTAGACTATGAACAACAGAAACTTATTTCTCAGAGTTCCAGAGGCTGAGAAGTGCAAGATCAAGGTGCTGACAAATTCACTGTCTGGTAAGGGCCTGCTGTCTGGTTCACAGATTTTCACTGTATTTTCACATAGTGGAAGGGATAAAGGAGCTCCCTTGAAGCTATTTTATAAGGACACCAAGCTCATTCACAAAGGTTTTGCCCTTATGACTTAAATCATCTCCCAAAAGGTTCCACCTGCTACTACCATCCCCTTGGGGGTTAGAATCTCAACATATGAATTTTCCCGGTATGCAAATAATTACACTATAGCAGCACTTAAGTGGTATTTGCTGCCAAAAACCAAAAAGAATATACCAAACATACAACATTTTATGTGAAGAAATTTTAAATGTTAAGCACCTTGATTTGAGTTACAGAAATTTACCACAGAGTTGCTTAATTTATTAACAATAAAGTATTCTCAAGTGATAAATAAATCTCTTCAAGCTGTTGTAAAGAGTCCTCTTAATACATAAATAAAAGTTCTAAACTCAATAGCTTCAACTTTGATCATTTTTAAACATTCAGCAAACAATTATATAGTTTTATAATTATTATTTTAAGTGGCTTCTTTTTGGTTCCTCTTTTCCTAAGTTGTATTTATTTTTCACTTTGAAACTGATCAGATAATGATGTAAGTCTCCCAGGAGCCATGTTGTCAGCTTCTTATATTTAATGAGACTACTTAAAATATCTCCTCCTGCCTATGACTTCACTGTCAATATTCTCTGCATTATGAACACTTCTGTTAAACGAGGCATAAGAAAGAAACTTCAAGGCCATTGAACCTCATCTCCTACTAAGTGCAAGAATTTCATCTGTCACAAGTGCAAGATCTTTTTGTTGGTTATTCCTGGTGATGAGTTGCTTACCATTTCCAGACAGTGGTTCTATTTTGGTAGTGTTTCTAATTATGTATAGTGATGTCAAATTCATGATTGGACACTTTAGAAATATTGTCAAATATACTTTAGAAAACACACATTTTTATATATAAATTGATATAACATATGGAATATGAACATACTTCTCAAAAATGTAATCTTATTTCATTTCCTTGGTGAGAGAATAGCAATTTATTTTGTTACTGACGTTGAAAAGTAGAATGGACATCAATATGTATTTATTAGGGACAACTGGCTTCTCATTCTCACAACTTTGCTTTCAGGTCTGGCATGTTGTAAAAGGAACATGGCCAAGGTATTTGGAGATGTGGACTAATCGCTTTGGGTCATAATTAAACAACTTCAGTCTTGACCAGATGATTACTGTGTTAATCTTCTATTGCTGCTATAATAAATTAACATAAACTTAGTGGCCTGAAGCAACACAAATATGCAGTCATCTCAGCTCACTTTGTGTCTCTGCATCACATTGTGGCTCCTCTTTAAATACTTCAAGCTTTTCTATGATTACTATGTCTGCTATGGTGATTTGTGACCTTTGATGTTACTATTGATTGTCTGGAGGCACCATGAATTCCACCCACATAAGATGGGAAAAGGTAATCAATGAATGTTGTATGTGCTCTGATTGCTCCACCATCTGCACATTCCCCAATCTCCCACCCTCTCTTTGGACCTTCCTATTTCCTGAGACACAACATTGAAGTTAGGCCTATTTAAAACCCTAATATGGCCTGCATGTGTTCAAGTGAAAGAGTCACACATCTTTCGATTTACATCAAAAGCCAAAAATGATTAAGCTTAGTGAGGAAGGCATGCCAAAAGAAGAGTTAGGCTGAAAGCTAGGCCTTTTGTGCCAAATGGTTAGCTAAGCTGTAACTGTAAAAGAAAAGTTCTTGAAGGAAATTAGATGTGCTACTCTAGTAAACACATGAACGATATGAAAGCAAAAGAGCCTTATGTTTAATATGGAGAAAGTTCCAGTGGTTTGGATAGAAAATCAAATCAGCCATACCATTTCCTTAAATCAGAGCCTAATCCAGAGGAAGGCCCTAACTCTCTTCAAGTCTACGAAGGCTGACAGAGGTAAGCAAAAATTTCTGAAGCTGGGAGCGGTTGGTTCATGAGGTTTAAGGGAAGAAGTCCTCTCTGTAAGACAAACGTACACGGTGAAGCTGCAGGTGTAGATGTAGGAGCTGCAGCAAGTGATGCAGAAGATCTAGCTAAGGCCATTGATAAAGGTAGCTACAGGCTACACTACACAACAGATTTTCAGGTAAACCAAAGAGCATTCTACGGGAAGATGATGCTTAGGACTTTCCTAGCTGGAGAGGAAGTCAATGCCTGGCTTTAAAGATTCAAAGAACAGGCTTACTCTCTTGTTAGGAGCTAATCAAGTTAGTGTCTAAATTGAAGCCAGTGCTCATTGACTATTCCACAAATCTTAGAGCCCTTAAGAATTATACTAAATCAACTCTGCCTGTGTTCTACAAACGCAACAACAAAGCCTGGATGACGGTACATCTGTTTACATCATGGTTTACTGAATATTTTAAGCCCACTCTTGAGATTTATTGCTCAGAAAGAAAGATGTCTTTCAGAATATTACTGTTCATTGACAATGTACCTTATCACCCAAGAGCTCTGATGGAGATGTTCAGCAAGATTAATGTTGTTTTTTTGCCTGCCTACACTACATTCACTGCACAGCCCATGGATAAAGAAGCAATTTTGACTTCCCACTTTTATTATTTAAGAAATATATTTTTTAGACTATAGCTTCCATATACAGTGATTCCTCTGATGGATGTTGGCCAAATAAATTTAAATTTTTCTGGAAAAAATTTCACTGTTCTAGATGACATTAAGAGCATTTGTAATTCATGGGAGGAAGTCAAAACAGTCATATTAACAGGAATTTAGAAGAAGTTGATTCCACCCCTCATGGATGGTTTTGAGGGTTTCAAAACTCAGTGAAAGAAATAACTAGATATTGTGGTAACAGCAAGAGAACTTAGAGTCTGAAGATATTATTGAATTGATGTAATCTCAAGATAATCTCATGATAATCTCCTTTCATGGATGAGTTGCTTCTTTTGAATGAGCAAAGGAAGTCATTCCTTGAGATGGAATCCACTGCTGGTAAAGATGCTGTGAACACTGTTGAAGTGACGAAGCATTTAGAACATTATATAAATCTAATCGACAAAGTAGTGCAGGCTTTGAGAGGATTGACTTCAATTTTGAAAGAAATTCTGGTGTAGATAAAATGCTATCAAACAGCATTTTATACTACAGAGAATTCTTTTGTGAAAAGAGGAATTCTTGATGCAACAAAGTTCATTGTTGTCTTCTTTTAAGAAATTCCCACAGCTACCTCAACCTAAAATCACCACCAGTATGATCAGCCAATAGCTATCTACACTGAGGCAAGAACTTCCACCAGCAAAAAGAGTATGTCTTGCTGAAGATTCATGTTATTGTTAGCATTTTTCAGCAATAGCATATTTTAAAATTAAGATATGTACATTGTATTCTTAGACATAATGTTATTGCACATTTAATAAAGTATGGTGTAAACAACTTTTATATGCATTGGGAAATGAGAAAATTCACTCACATTATTGTGATATTTGCTTTCCCGGGGTCATCTGGAACCAAATTGCAATACTTCTGAGGTATATCTGTATTACTTTACAGTTCTGAAGGTGAGAAGTCTGAAATGGGTCTCACTAGGATAAAGTCAGGGTGTCTGAAGGGTTATGTTCTTTCTACAGGGTCATGTTCTTTATGCAGTCTCTGGGGGAGAATCCAGCTTCTTGCCTTTTTCAGCTTC